GGAGTTGAAGTACAAGGAAGGGACTCCTATTTCAAATCACTTGAGTGAATTTCAAGGACGCTATGATCATCTAGCAGGAGTGGGAATAAAATTTGATGATGATCTATTGGGGCTATTCCTATTAAACTCTCTACCGGATTCGTGGGAGACATTTCGGGTTTCCATGATCAGTGCTACCCCTAATGGTGATATTTCTTTGCAAATGGCAAAAAGTGGTGCACTTAATGAGGAGATGAGAAGGAGGACACAGGGTACTTCATCTTATTCAGAAGTGCTTGTTATAGAGAACAGGGGGAGAAGTCAGAGGAAAGAACAGAAGAGTGGTAGAGATAAAAGCAGGAGCAAGTCCAGATCCCGGTACAAGAATGTGGAGTGTCACTATTGTCATAAAATAGGGCATATACAAAAGAATTATTTTTTGTGGAAGAAAGAGAGCAAAGACAAAAAGGGTAAGCAGAGAGAAAGAGATCATAATGATGGTGATCATGTTACTACTGCTACATGTAGTGACCTTGTTTGTCTTCGTGATTATGACATTGTTAATCTTGTATCCGATGAGAGCATGTGGATAATTGATAGTGGTGCTACACTACATGTTACATCCAGGAAGGAGTTCTTCACATCTTATACTCCAGGTGATTTTGGAGTATTGAAGATGGGTAATGATGGGGTGTCTAAGGTGATTGGTGTTGGTGATGTTTGCTTGCAAACCAACATGGGAATGCAGTTGTTGCTTAGAGGAGTTAAACATGTTCCAGATGTTCGCTTCAATTTGATTTCTATGCAGGTACTTGATGATGGTGGATATGATAACCAATTTGGTTCTGGAAAGTGGAAGCTCACCAAAGGTAACTTGATTGTAGCTAAAGGGGAGAAAAACTCTAAGCTTTACTGGACAAAAGCTTTGGTTGCTAAAGACAGTGTGAATGCCATGTATATGGAGTCATCTTTGTGGCACCGAAGACTTGGTCACATCAGTGAAAATGGGCTGAACTGTTTAGCCAAAAAGGATATGCTTATAGGATTGAAGAATGTAGAGTTGGAGAAGAGTTCTCATTGCATGGCTGGTAAACAAACCAGAGTATCCTTCAAGAAGCATCCTCCCTCCAAGAAGTCAGAGTTGCTTGAATTGGTGCATTCTGATGTCTGTGGTCCGTTGAAGGTAAAGTCTTTTAGTGGCGCACTTTACTTTGTTACCTTTATTGATGATTGTTCCAGGAAACTATGAGTCTATGCTTTGAAGACAAAAGACCAAGTGCTGGAGAAGTTTAAGGAGTTTCATGCCTTAGTTGAGAGACAATCAGGCAAGAAGCTGAAACGCATTCGTACTGATAATGGTGGTGAGTATTGTGGACCATTTGATGTCTACTGTAAACAGCATGGTATTGCACATGAGAAGACTCCTCCTAAAACTCCTCAGTTGAATGGTTTAGCGGAGAGGATGAACAGGACATTGACTGAGAGAGTGAGGTGTATGCTCTCTAAAGCTAAGTTGTCCAAGCATTTCTGGGGTGAGGCACTGTACACGGCGGTACATGTTATCAATCTTAGTCCTGTTTATGCTTTGAATTCTGAGGTGCCAGACAAAATTTGGTTTGGTAAGAATGTTAGCTATGATCACTTACATGTCTTCAGTTGTAAGGCATTTGTTCATGTTCCAAAGGATGAAAGATCCAAGTTGGATGCGAAGACCAGGCAATGCATCTTTGGCCTTTGCATCTTTATTGGTTATGGTCAGGATGAACTTGGCTACAGGTTGTATGATCCTGTTGAGAAAAAGCTTGTTAGAAGTCGTGATGTGCAGTTCATGGAAGATCAAACCATTGAAGACATTGATAAGATGGAGAAGTCTACACCTAAGGAAGATGGTAATGTGGCTGATGTTGATCCAATTCGGTTATCAGCTAATGAATTGGATACTAATGTTCATAATGATGAGTAACATGGTGATATTGATAATCAGCAGGTTGGAGATGGATTAGAGTTTCCAATTGGTGATGCTCAACATGAAGATGATATAGTACATGATGATCATGATGATGCACCTGAGCCACCACAAGTTCAACCCAGGAGATCTACCAGGCCAAAACAACCTTATAAGAAGTACACTCCTAATGAGTATGTGATGTTGACTGACGAGGGAGAACCTGAATGTTATGAGGAGGCCATTGAGAGTGAAGAAAAGCAAAAGTGGTTGGATGTTAATGCAGGATGAGATGAAATCTCTGCATGATAATCACACTTATGACTTGGTAAAGTTGCCTAAGGGCAAAAGGGCCTTAGAAAACAAGTGGATTTTCAAGGTGAAGCAAGAGAGCAATTCTACATCTCCCAGATACAAAGCCAGATTAGTCGTGAAAGGTTTTAGACAAAGAAAGGGTGTTGACTTCAATGAGATTTTCTCACTTGTGGTAAGAATGACGTCCATCAGAACTGTGCTAAGTTTAGCTGCTACTCTTGATCTAGAGGTTGAACAGATAGATGTGAAGACAGCTTTCCTTCATGGTGATTTGGAGGAAGAGATTTACATGAAGCAACCTGATGGTTTCCTTATTGAAGGAAAAAAAGACTATGTGTGTAGGCTGTGAAAGAGCCTATATGGTTTGAAGCAGGCTCCAAGGCAGTGGTACAAGAAGTTTGAGTCTGTTATGTGTGAGCAAGGCTACAAGAAGACTACTTCTGACCATTGTGTTTTTGTTAGAAAATTTTCTGATGATGACTTCATTATCCTGTTGTTGTATGTTGATGACATGCTTATTGTTGGGAAAGATGTTTCCAAAATTAACAGGTTGAAGAAGCAATTGGGCGAGTCATTTGCCATGAAAGACATGGGAGCTGCTAAGAAGATTCTTGGTATAAGCATCATTCGTGATAGAAAAGATAAGAAGCTTTGGTTATCACAGGAGCACTATATTCAGAAGGTGTTGTAGAGATTCCATATGGAAAATGTTAAAGCTGTAAGTACTCCTCTTGCTGCTCATTTTAAACCGAGTGTTAAACAGTGTCCTTCAAATGAAGCTGAGAAGATAAATATGAGCAGAGTTCCTTATGCATCTGCGGTGGGTAGTTTAATGTATGTAATGGTATGTACAAGACCTGATATTGCACATGTTGTTGGTACAGTCAGTAGATTTCTGTCAAATCCAGGTAGAGAGCATTGGAATGCTGTAATATAGGTTTTGAGGTATCTTCGTGGTACTAGTGGTTTGAAGCTTTATTTTGGAGGTGATAAACCTACTTTGGTGGGTTACTCAAACTCAGATATGGCTGGAGACATTGATTCCAGAAAGTCCACTTCAGGTTATTTGGTTAAGTTTGCAGGGGGAGCTGTGGCTTGGCAATCAAGATTGCAAAAGTTTGTAACATTGTCTACTACTGAAGCTGAGTTCATTGCACTTACTGAAGTGTGCAAGGAATTGTTATGGGTGAAGAAATTATTGCAAGAGCTTGGTTTTGTGCAAGACAAATACCTATTGTATTGTGACAGTCAAAATGTTATTCATCTTGGTAAAAATCAAACTTTCCATTCTAAATCCAAACATATTGATGTGAGGTATCATTGGATACAAAATGTTTTGGATGCTAAGCTGTTGGAGTTAGCTAAGGTTCATACAGATGATAATGGTGCTGATATGATGACCAAGGCATTTGCAAGAGGAAAGTTTGAAGTTTGTTGTGAGATCGCTGGAATGGCGGTCACCTCCACATAATTGTGAGGGGGAGATATATATGTTGGGTTGGGCTCCCAACTATGTGACCAAAGGCCCAAATTTGGCAAGCCCATTTTTCTCACTAAACCTAAGTGGAGTAGGGATCAATTGGAGGAAGGAGAGAGGTCTGAAACAGAGGAAAGACAGCAGCTAAGAAAGGGAGAGAGAAGAGTGAAATTTTGGTTCGCATTTACACAGATCAACAAACTTCAAATCAAGATCTCTGTCAATCTGACCGTTGGATCGTCACAAAATTTGGAGGTAGCATTTACCACATACTGGTCTTCATTCTCACCGTTCAGTTTTCAATCCGACATCTGTAGGTGGAGAAATCGTGTGTGAACAGTAACTCATGTTTGCAAGTTCTTTTCAGCTTCTTGTTCTCTAATTGAAAGCCTTGTTGCTTTGTTGTATTTGCTGGTTGTAGGAACTTGTTTTGTGCAGTATTTTGTGACTCTCTTGTATCCTTATTTGATCATAGTGGAGCTTGTTTACTGGCTTGTGCCCGTGGATTTTTACTTCTCACATTGAGAGGGTTTTCTCACGTTAAAATCTGTGGTGTTGTTTGCTTGTGATTATTGTTGTTACTGCTGCCATTTGTTGTAGTTGTTGCTCCTCACAGATTCTCGCTAGTAAGGGAGATTGTATTTCTGCTGCGTTATTACTCTTTGTAGAGTTATTATTGTATATTGGTTCATTTCTCCCATCAATTATACATCACAATGATGCATAATTATGATTTTTTATTCTTACAAAATTAAGTGAAGTGTAAAAAATTGTGTTTAGCTTAAAAAAGAGTTCGAATCCACTTTTTTTTTTTTTTTCCTCAAACCAATTCATAGACAATGAAATGAGGGGAAAAAACTCTTCTATGTTTGACAATTAGGATTTTCTACGATAGTGTGCATCAATAAATTATTAACGAAAAAATTGTTTTATTCCTTCAAATGAGAGTAATGATTCCTAGTTTAGACACCACGAGTCCAATATTTCATAAACTTACTTACATCATAAGTCCAAATAATAAATATATTAATATAAATTAAAATAACGTAACATTAATTTTCATAATCAGTATAACTTAGTATAACTTAATAGTCTAAAATTAATCTCATAATTAAATAGTGTTAACTAGAAATTTTAACATTATTTTGTAGTATGAAAAAGTGTTAACAAAATAACCGTAGGTTTATATATGGGTAATTTAAGTCGGTTGTAAATAACAAGTAAAGTTTGAAGCTTAATAAATTAACATGGTGACAAACAAATATCTTTCCATTACATTCTTAGTCAACAAAAAAATAATAAGTGACAAGATCTGAATAAAGTCACGTACTTATTCTCAGCTTTGGATTTTTCACTTTCTTCCCATGCCTTCACATTAGACAACCTTTTCTCTTTCTCTATTTCAGCAAGAGCAATATCTATACACCATAGAAATATATCAGTCATTTGATATGAAAAATAGAGTTTTCTTAACACAAATCACCATGAGTACATATTCATGTTAAAAAAGAAAAATATAGTTAAGTGTCAGCTAGAAATCCATGAATGTACATTTGCAATGTGTCTAGAGACTAGATGGTGCATTTCAAATTGACTAATTTAAGTATTATGAAACAAAAAGCTCAAAATATTAAGTGTAAATATTTTGATCAAGATCAAATATTAACAAGACAATGTAAACTGAACTATGAGATAAGTTTAACACTAATCTCTATCAAGGGATCCACCTGTGGCCTTCTTTTTTACAGGATCTGGTATCTCTGTAGAATAAAAGAAAATGGTTAAAAAATAAACAATGATC